TCCCAGGGAAATAAGATATTTTGGGTCTCTCTTGATTAAACATTTGTATGTGTTTGTGTGTTTAATCATTCTAAGTAAGTCTCCAAGCTAGGCTGGGCATATAATAGACAGCCTTAAGTCAGGGGACCTGAGTGAAGGCCACCATAGGAGTAAGTTGTTACTTCAGCCAACAAACATTTGTTGAGCACTTACTCTGCTAGGACTTATGCTAGGCACTGGGCTATAGAAAGATTAAAGAGACCTCCAGGAACTGACGGTCAGCTGTGAGGGACAACATGAGAACAGGATTGCAAAACAACACAAGAGCTGTTACAGATATGTAGAAGTCTTAGACGTTTTCAAGGAAATGGGTACCACATCCAGTGGGATATGTTAGAGAAGAATTGACAGACTTGTGTTCTTGACATCCTGGACCCTTGAAGAAACCCCCTTTGCTTCATTTGAGTGACACTGGGGCTGTCAGGAACCAAAGTGGACATGGCTTCCCATAGACTGGTTCTGCTTTAGGACTTGATTTCTCAAGACCGCTCTTCATAGGATCCTCTGTCATGGTTCTGGGAACTTTAAGGAGCTGGGTGAGCCAGGTCAGTATAGTCCTTAGGAAACAACCTTCTATGGGCAGCATCCAGTTAGATGGGTCATTCAGTTGTCCCTCCTTATTAACAGTGGTTTTGGAACCAGTTTAGCTCTTTAACCACAGTACAGCTCTTTAACACGGTAGAGAATTTGGAAGAAAGAAAAACGTTGGTTGGGAAATGCTTTAACACCCTAGCTGAATGGTTTGGAACAGGAAGAAGGTGTTAGAAAGTTTTAGGGGTCAGGGGTGGCATTGCTTAAGTCCCTGCTAGATGCTTTCCTGTTAGGGAACTCAGTTGCTATTCTCAAGGGCCCAGAGAGGCTGGTTGTCATGTGCATTTTACAAAGGACTCAAACTAGACTCAGATGAGGGGACTAGCCCCATACCCAGCTTATATGATAAGCTCTAGTCTGCTTGCTGCACTGCAGAGACGGTTCATACTCATCTCTAAGAGACCAGGCCAAGTCACAGGCAATATTTGGAAGGGAGTCTGTGTAGGAGTGAAATAAGGGCCTTAGAATCTTAAGACCAATAAGAAAAGCCCAAATCTGGCAGATTTAGGAACACAAAGTGAGTCTCAGCATCAGTGGGTAAAAGTGATGGAGCAAAACAAGTTGGGAGTAATCAGTGATGGGATGCATAAACTCACCAGAAAGCACACCTGTCCCTCAGACATGGCCTCTAGCTTAAGAGTTTGAGATTGGGTCTCTTTGTTAGAAGGGAGTATGTTGGAAGGTGGAGAAAAAGGGAGCTATGTTTTCTCCAGCTGCTGCATAGAGATGCAACTGGGAACTGTTGGTTGCATAGAAATTTCCAGCAAGAAGCATGATGTGAAAGGGGTGGAAGGGCATGTGAGCAGATCTGCCAAGTGTTGGCTTTGGGCTTCTCTGCCTGTCCTAAATAGCTTCTACTCAAGGATCCAAAACACTTAAGACACTTAAGGAATGTCAACCTCAGTTTCTTTAAAAGGCTGTAATTGTAAAATATCGCCCGAAAATGTACAAGGTCTAGAAAAAGAAAACATTAAAATACTGTGAAGGACACACAAGAAAACTTGAACAAATGGAAAGATATACCAAGTTCTTGAACAGGAGCAGTCAACATAAAGCTGTTAATTCTAAGTTAAAAATGTCATCCTAATAAAACATCAAGAAGTTTTTTTAAAAAACTACTAAAATATACATGTGGGTGCTGACAGGTTAGCTCAGTTGGTTAGAAGCGTAGTGCTGATAACACCAAGGTCCAGGGTCGATACCCATACTGGCCCACTGCCAAAAAATAAAAAAATTTACATGTAGAAAAAATAATAGCTGGAAGATGCTGGGAGGAGGAGAAGAAACGGGATGTTTAATCCTAGCAGATACTAAAACTCATTATAAAATTATAACAAAGCAGTGTGGTTTTGGTGCATGAATGAATAAACAGGCCAATAAAGAAGAATGTAAGGTCTAGAAATAGACTCAAATATGAGTATATATGACAATTTAGTATGGCAAATGTAGCATCCAGAATCAATGAGAAAAAGACGGACTCTTCAGTAAATAATGTTGAAAAAACGGGGTAACATTCTGGAAAAAATAAAGTTGGCTTTATACCTCACACCATAAATCAAACATTTCAAAATGGATAAAGATATAAATGTAAAAAAAAAGAAACCATAGAAATGCTAGAAGGAAATGTAGGCATTTCTTTTAAATCCTTGGGGGTGGGGAAGGCCTTACTGACTTGGACCCCAAATCTAGGAGTCATAAATGGAGATTGATTAATTCTATGTTCAACAAAATTACAAAATAAAATCATCTTTAAGGCCCCAAACATAAGACAAGTCAAAATTGTGTAGAATAAAACAAAAAACCTAGAAGCTTTGCAGATCATCTCTAAGGGCTAATCCTCTCAATATATCAAGAGTTCCGGAAACTAATAGGAAAAAAGACTAAAAACCCAATAGAAAAATGAGCGAATAATAAACTAAATACAAATAGGGAAGACAGCCTCAACCTCATTCATGATAAGAGAAATGCAAACTAAAAGAAGGCATTTTTCACCTAATCAGATTGGCAAAAACCCTTATGTCTGTTAACATGCCAGGTTGGCAAGGCAGTGGGAAACAGGTTTGTACAACATTGCTTTCAGGAGTGTAAATTGATATAATCCCTATGAAGAGCAATTTGATAGTATGTGTCAGAATTTTTAAATGCATACATTCTTTGACCTGGTAACTTCATTTGCTTTGGCCAAGTCATTCCTCCCTGTCCTGTTTTTTTTTGTTTGTTGTTGTTTTTTTAACCTCATAGAGTTGTGAGAGTTAAGTGAGATGATGCACATAAACACTTAGTACAAAGTGCCTGGCACATAGGAAGTGCTCCCAAAATGTTGGTTAGTAATGTAATAATAGCAACTAACAGGGCATTGAATTAGCCTGTGCCACATTATCACACTGTGCTTGGTGCTCTTCATGTATTATCTCATTTAATTCTGTAACCAAACCTATGAAGTAAGTGCTATTGATTATCAGCAGTTAGCCTCTAGGGAGACTGAGGAACAGAGACGTGAAGTGGGTTATAGAGCAGGATTCGAGCCCGGGTAAATACCCAAGCCTGCAGTACGCTGCCTCTCTATTTGGTGCAGTGGTGTGTTGAACACTTTAAGGGAGGGTGTGCAGAGTGCCGTAGGAACACGGATGGGTGAGCACAGAGTCCCGCTTGTACAACACTATCCAAAGGGAAGAAATGGCTTTCAGTCAAGGCTCTGCCACTTTTCAAGTTGGGGCAGCGTTGTCTGTTTTGTTTTAATCTACCTTCAGGCCATCTGCTGATCTGTAAAACTGGGGTATTACCTATTTCAAGGGTGGTTGTGAGGATTAAAAGACATGAACACAGCTAGTTACAGTCTGTGCTTGCTGAAGTGAACTGAACAAAAGTGGATGGGGTGAGGGCCAATGGAGAAAGCCTTCTAGGAAGAGGGAACACCATATTCCAAGGCTACAGATCCAGAAGCTTGAGGACTCGAGGAAGGGGGTCCGGTGGGGTGCAGTGGGTTCTGATGGCCTTAATAGCCAGCTAAGAAACTTGTATTATTTAATAATAAAAATAAAAGAGCCACCATCTGTTGAGGGTTTGCTCTGGCATTACTCCTATCAAAACTACATGAAGCTCCCCCTGACACCCACAGCCAGACCAGCGGTGACCACCAAGCCACCACAGGAAGCGCCCCAGGTTCCCGAGCTGGGACGGTGGGGGGCAAGGGCTTTTCCACACCCCCCTGACATCTGCACCCAGCCCAGCAATGACCAAGCCAGCACTGGAAGCCCCCAGTCTCCCCTGTGGAAATGAGAGGAGTGCCACAGGCCTCAATCCCACCCCTCCTCCTTCCGTCTCATTTCCTTCCCTTTCCCCCTCTCCCCCTCACTCCCAACTGCTCTACAACAACATCTTAGAATGTGAAATATAATATTAATAAAATTACATTTTCTTTAAAGATAGACAGACAGACAGACAAAATTACATTTTCTTTAAAGATAGACAGACAGACAGACAGACAAAACTACACGAAGCTCACCGGTTAGCTCAGCTGGTTAGAGCGAGGTGCTAACACCAAAGTTTAGGGTTCAATCCCTGTTCCCACCAGCCACAGAAACCAAACATGAATCCATCAAAACTTAACTACAGCGGGGTGGATTTAACAAATCCATTTGTACACAAAAGGAAACCGCCAGGAGCCACAGAAGGTGTAAGCAGGGAGGTGACTTGATCAGTTCCGTTTTAGAAAAATCCCTTGGACCAGGTGATGGACTGATAAAAGGTGCTTTAGTGACCTGACTTGAATTCCGTACATTAAAAATTTTTTTTAAATCATTTTTTTCTTTTACTCCACAATTTATATTCACTGTAGAAAATATAAAAAAAGGGCCGGCCCGTGGCTCACTCGGGAGAGTGCGGTGCTGATAACACCAAGGCCCCGGGTTCGGATCCCATATAGGGATGACCGGTTCGCTCACTGGCTGAGCGTGGTGCTGACAACACCAAGTCAAGGGTTAAGATCCCCTTACCGGTCATCTTTTAAAAAAAAAAAGAAAATATAAAAAAAATTGTTAATTGCACCTTCCAGAGACATCCCAATTGATACTTCCAGTCTTTTTTTCTTTTATGCTAAAAATATGCGGTCTTTAGAATGGATGATAGACGGAAGATGGAAAGACACCGCTATTAACCGTTCTTGATATTCCTTCTTCCCTTCTTCGTTTTATTAGGGCCAAACCGAGAGCAGAGGCTGATTTCCCCTCACGTGTCAGGAAAGTCTCCACGACTAGGCGCGGCGACCCTCGTTTGCCATTCACGTCTGTCTCTAGGGGGCGCTGCTGCGAGACCAGGCGGGGAGGGAAGACGGCGGTGCGAATACGCGTTTGAACTTGGGCACAGCCGCTGCCCGTAGCCGGCGTCCCCAACATGGCGGCTCCCCAAGATGTCCACGTACGGATCTGTAACCAAGAGATCGTCAAATTCGACCTGGAGGTGAAGGCGCTTATCCAGGTACTGATTCCCGGGACCCCTGCGGGCCTCCAGCGGCGCTAACCCAAGCTCGCTGACCTCGTGTGAGCTCGGCAGTCTCACTCCCGAACTTTCCCTATTTGATCAAGTCTCTCAGGCCGTTGGCCCCGTCCCATGGCCGGCTACCCCCTTGTCGTCCCCATTTGGTCCAGTTCCCGTGACCATTGGCCTTGGCCCTCTATCCGGGTGCCGTTGGCTCGCCTTCTTCTGGGGCACTCCCATGTATCCCGCCCCTGACCAGGCTACTCCTTGGTGGCCCCGCTTGAACCCCTCCGACCCACACCCCTGGCTGATGCCTCGCCTCTGACCACCTCACAACCTTCCCGTCGCCTTGCTTGGCTCCGCCTTCTTCTTTTTTTTGTTTTTTTTCCTTTTTTTGTCTTTTTTCGTGACCGGCAACGGGATCGCAACCCTCGGTGTTGCACCCGCACCTCGCTCAGCCAGTGAGCGGCCGGTCTGTATGTGGGATCCGAACCCTCGGCGGGAGCGCCACCGCGCTCTTAAGCGGCGCACTGTAGCAGTGCGCCACCGGGCCGGCCTTTGGCTCCGCCTTCTGACACCTCCTTCCCAGTCATCTGGCAACTCCCAGAAGTCGTCAGCCCCGCTCCCTGCTGCCAGTTCTGGTCTGGTGCCCCGTGGCGCCCCGTGGCACCCAACACCACCTGTTAAGGGAGGCACCGGCTGCAATGAACGTAACCGGGACAGTAGTTGTGGTTTTGTAAATAAGGAAATTGAGTAGAGCGCCAAGGCATGGAATCTAAGGCAGACAGTGGCAAAGCAGGGACCCAGAGTGGGAAAGTCGGCCTAAGAAAAGCACCTGAGAGTCTCTGCTACGTTTTACAAATGGGAAAAGTGAGGTGCTTTGCCTTAAGCCATTTGAGGTAGAAGGCAGTAGTGCAGTAAACCGGTTGACGCAGGCAAGAGTTAGGAATATAGAAATGGTTCCATGAGTTTAGCAAAAAGAAACCAAGAGTTTTAAATCTTGGTTTTAAGCAAATCGTTTCCATTTCTAACAAATGTCACCAACCATTAGAGAGAATGGTTACAGAATCTGTAACAAGCTATGGAAAGTAGGGATTCCCAGGTAAACCAGATGCAAATTAATAGTTTATCATATGATGCAAGGAAGTGTGATTTATTTTATTTTTTATTTTTTTTCTTTTTTTTTGTCTTTTTTCGTGACCGGCAGCGGAGCGCAACCCTCAGTGTCGCGCCCGTACCGGACCGGGACCGGCAACGGGATCGCAACCCTCGGTGTTGCGCCCGCACCTTGCTCAGCCAGTGAGCGGCCGGTCTGTATGTGGGATCCGAACCCTCAGCTGGAGCGCCGCTGCGCTCCCAAGCGGCGCACTGTAGCAGTGCGCCACCAGGCTGGCCCCAAGGAAGTGTGATTTAATGAGCACGCCAGAGAGCAAGTGACAGAAGATTGATGCAAACATTTAAACTTCTTGAACTTTGATTCTCCAATGTATAAGTGACAAAACTTCTGGGTCAATTCTAGAAAAATTAACTTAGGATTCCTACAAATGAAATTACCTTTTTGTGTAATTTAAATTGCTTAGGCGGGGCCGGCCTGTGGCTCACTGGGGAGAGTGTGGTGCTGATAACACCAAGGCCACGGGTTCGGATCCCTATATAGGGATGACCGGTTAGCTCACTGGGTGAGCCTGGTGCTGACAACACCAAGTCAAGGGTTAAGATCCCCTTACCGGTCATCTTAAAAAAAAAAAAAAAACTGCTTAGGCCCCTTTTGTACTCTGTCTTAACATTTGGGTTCTTGTGATTGCTCACGAGAAAGATTGATTATAACTAGATGTATTGCACTCTTACTGTGCTCCAGCTGCTCTGCTATGTGCTTTACATATATACATTATCTATGAGGTAGGTAACGCTGTGATAGGCACAGAGAACTTAAGTAACTTCTTCAGTGTTACACAGCTAATACTTTGCTATAGCCAGGATTTGAGTCCATGTAGTCTGGCTCTAGAGCCTGCTGTAAAACCTGGCTCCAGCAATTCTGAATGTCCAGAAACAAATTCTAAATTTACTCTTAGATATGTCTATAAACCCTGTGACTTATAACAGATGGTTTGCAAAATCAGGATGAAGAAGTTAATCTTGTTATATGATACCAGAGATTTAAACATCCTGATTGTGGAGTTGGAAGGATCTGAAGTTACAGTATCACTTTTGGATATCCGTTATTGTTCGGAATACAAGCTATGTTAAGCCTGTCACATTGGCCAGGTGATGTTTTATTAAACTTTAGGGACTAATAATTAGGTCAAGGCAGAGTTGTGTCTCTTTCTATGCTTTTATATTACCTGCTCAACATTAATCTAAAGAGGAATGAGAAAAATGTACATGATAATGTTTTTGCTTGTGTTGCAGAGGTAAACCGCAAAGATCAGGATGAATTACAGCCAGTAGGCCAGTTTAGTTGTGGTCTGAGCTAATCTCTCACTGTGCAGATGATGTCATTTTATTTCATTGCCTCAAGATAGGCCCCTCATTTCTTCAATGTCTCCTAGGATATACGTGATTGTTCAGGACCCTTAAGTGCACTTACTGAACTAAATACTAAAGTGAAAGAGAAGTTTCAACAGTTACGGCACAGAATACAGGTGAGTGGTTGCAGAAATGAGATGCTGAAAATGGGTAACAGTGAAAGGGGCTCAGTCCTGGGACTTACATTTGCTTGAGAGCTGTCCAGCTTCTTCAGATACCAACTGGAGGGAGTGGTAAACATTTAGACAATGAGGCTGACTCTACTAACCTACTCTCCAGGTATAAATGAGGAACCTGATAGCGGAACACTGCCAGCTCTGTCAACAAATGGATGGCAGGGACACTATTGTCCAAACCTCTGAGGTCACTTCAACTGCTTTCTCTTCTCTGTCACTCTCTCCAACCCATTCATTCATTCTCCGCCTCAATCCATCACCAGGATCTCCTGGGTTTTTTTCATGCTCTCACTTTGCCCAGCATCTTCCTTAACTATATACTATAGTATATGTGCCATCTCAAAAAACACTAGAGAGTTAGAAGTAGCAGTTTGAATAGTGGAAATGTTTCTACTGCTGTGCCCTCAGTGAGGGTGAGATGGGTGGTGTGGGTCTGCCCATCCCTGGGTGGGTCTGAGGGCACCTGGTCTCGCTGCGTGTGGTACTGGGGACTTGTGCTTTTCATTTAACATAGCCCCAAAGGCCAGCCAACAACTCTGTTGTTGCTTAACAGAAAATGACAGTCTGTTCCAAAGCTGATAGAAAAGCAGACCAGCTGGACCCCTGAAAAACAATATGTCTGTGTCCTGTGTGTTGCCTTCCTATGGGATTTTCAAGGGCAATTGAAAATATGCAGTTTTTGTCATAGGAGTTAACTTTACAATTTCAGCCGTGTCACTATAGCTGATTTCCTTCTGCTTCCATCTCTGGCACTGATTTAATCATTTTAATTTTTTATTTTTTCATAGGTATTGCTTTCACATGTTTTATGTACGTGTGTATATGTATCTAAATATCAACATACAAGGGTACTTCAAAAAGTTTGTGAAAAAATAGAATTAAGAGATAATACAAATTTTGCCATGAACTTTTTGAAGTGCCCTCATACAGTTGAAAAGTCTCAGTTATGTCCTTTATTTGTTCTCTGTTCTCCTCTTCCAAACAGGTAAAACCACTTTTGTTACTTATGTATTTTTCCAGAGTTTCTCTATGCAAATATTAAAAAATACAAATGTATTTTCTTATTTCTTCTCTGTTTTTCATCTAAAAGGTAGCATACTAAAACATTGCTTTTTTAAATTTACCAATATGTATTGGAAATGAGTAACTAGAGACCTTCCTCATTCTTTTTTTTTACACCTGTAATTTTTTTAGCCAATTCTTTATCAAAGGACATTTATTTAGATACTTTTTGTTTGTTTGTTTGACCGGTAAGGGGATCGCAACCCTCGGCACGGTGTAGTCCGCACCATGCTCAGCCAGTGAGCGCACCAGCCATCCCTATATAGGATCTGAACCTGTGGCCGCGGCCACGGCCCCGGCCCCGGCATTCCCAGCGCCGCACTCTCCCAAGTGAGCCAAGGTTTAAAGCTAATTTATTTCGTAACAGACCTTTCTTCAACTCAGCATGACTTCAGTTCTCCACTATACCTACCACTTCCGGTATGAGTATTTCCTTATTCTTTTTTAAAAAAATATCTTTTTGTTAAATATGCTCATCCGGTGTATATTTCCTTCACTAATTAAGATTATCTCACCAATTCATTTATGTATTTATTATGCCCCCCTCCCCCCCCAGTAATGTCAGCACCTTGAGCACCAGTGTATCCCTGGCACCTAGTAAGGACCTAATAAGTACATGGTTACCAAATGAATAACCCCATTCCAATTTTAATCTGTTTCCTAAGCATTCACATACTCTCTTTATACATGGAAATAAATATAAAATTTTTGTTTGATATTTTTAGCTCTTACATGAATGTCTTTTTTGTGTATTTGCAAGAAGATTGTATGATACAAGAAGAAAATTGGCCTCATATCCTCAAAATATGATGTCCTACACATAGTAATTGTTGGGCTTTGACTATGTGTAAATATCTATGTGTCTGTCTTTGTACATATGGTTCTCAAACTGGAATTTGACAGCTACTCTGCCCCTGTTATTTTCTCTAGAACTATTGCTAGTTCTCTGTGACAGAACTTCCAGGTAACCTTTTGAGAGGAAATTGTACATTTCTTCTTCCTTTCCTCCCTCCCTTCATCCCATGCACCCATTCTTCCATTCACTTGTTCAGTGCTTAATATGTGCCAGGCATAAAGAATATGTATATGAACACTAGAGACAGCTCTGCTCATCCCATGCACCCATTCTTCCATTCACTTATTCAGTGCTTAATATGTGCCAGGCATAAAGAATATGTATATGAACACTAGAGACAGCTCTGCTTTCAAAGAATTTATATTCAAGTAGGGAATATAGATTTTAAACAAATAATTATGCAAATAATTAACTAATTACTTTGGCAAAAGTTTTCCAATTCACAGTTGATTATTTCTTTTTTTCTCTACCTGAGCAATATTTGGAGGCAATAAAGAAATAAATTTATTTCCAGTAAATTGGAAATCATCTCTGAGTTATTGAAATGGTGGATACATATACTTGTTCCAGACCAGTGTGTGCAAATTAGTATATAAATGAGTATCTAAATAAATTAGTACATAAATGAGCTAATACATCGATGTTTTAGATCAGTAGTTTGATTTAGGCTGGAACCTGTTTTAATCTATTAAAAAAAATCTCATTCCAATTTTAATCTGTTTAATACTTAGGAAGCGGATTAAAATTGGAATGGGGTTATTTGAGACTTGAGGTGTAATGACGTCTTTAATTATAGTCTGTTGGATAGTTCTATCATCTGAAATTCTTGGGGCTCTAATACTACTGGTTGTCTGCTGACTCTCACTTGTGGTGGATTGGTTCCTTGGTGTTTAGTTATCTTGGACTGTGAGCATTCATCTTCAGCTGACCTCATCTGTGGGACTTAGTGCAGCCTGGGTCAAAGGCAAGTCTCTCCAGAGGTTTTTGCAATTGCTTTCTGCCAGGTCTCCTGGGATTATCACAAGTCTGGGAATGTTTTTTATGTTAATTTCTCTTCCTGGAGGTTCTCAAACCACTCAGAGAAGATAAATTGAACCCCAGATCAGTGTGAGGACAGCTCCCTGGTTATAAATTCTCAGGGGAGATTTTTCTTTTTACCCCTCTATTCAGAACCCACAGCAGAAGGAAGACAAGTGTCCGTATTTTCATTCTGTACTGGTGGATAGACATTTTCCCAGACCTTTTCACTGAGCAAATAACCTTTTGTGGGTCCTGGGATTTGTGGTGTACTCAGTTCCAATTTCCAGCCTCAGCCTCAGATGGCCTGAGACTTCATTTTTCTGTTCCTTAAATGAGTTTTAAAACTCTCAAACTGTTACTGGTCTCTAATGAAATAGGTGCAGAAATTGAGAGCGAGCATTTGGAAACACACAGCAGTTTGATATTCCCATGATATCTAAGTGTAGGATCAGTGGGCTCATATTTTGTCATTTTTCTTTTTTTCTTCTTCATTTCAGGCATGCTTAAGATTGCGGGAACAGCACCTCCCACTCCAGGACAGCTGTCTGTCACTCACAGACTGACTTCTCTGGCTTTTAGTTCCCTTCTCACTTTTGGTCTGTAGGAATTTTCCTTACTTTCTTGCAAACTTAGCTATTTACAGAAGTCCCCAACTTACAATGGTTCAACTTAGGGTTTTTCAACGTTACAATGGTGCAAAAGCAATACACATTCAATAGAAACTGTACTTCAGGTGTCCATACATCCATTCTGTTTTTCACTTCCAGTGCAGTATTCACTAAATTACACGAGTCATTCAACACTTTATTATAAAATAGGCTTTGCGTTAGATGATTTTGCCCAGTCTAGGCTAATGTAAGTGTTCTGAGCTTTTAAAGTAGGCTACACTAAGCTATGACGTAGGTTAGGTATATTAAATGCATTTTTGACTTAGGATATTTTTAACTTATGATGGGGCTTATCAGGGTATATGACCCTGATGTAAGTTGAGGAGCATGTATATTCAAAGGAAGTGTGTTATATATTACCCAGCATTCCTACATGTTCTGTCTTAAAAGGGTTCTTCAAGTGCTGTCATTAGCACCCGCCAGAAATAGAAGTGCTCTTCTGTTTTCACATTGGCTTTTAAAATCATTTTTAACACAGAGCTATTTTCCCCCAAAGGAGCTTGAGCAGTCAGCTAAAGAGCAAGACAAAGAGTCGGAAAAGCAACTTCTACTTCAGGAAGTGGAGAATCACAAAAAGCAGATGCTCAGGTAGGCAGGGACTGCCAGTGGCTTCTGCTGGGTCACTTGCTTCCTGTGAGCTTTGTGCATGTGTTAGGTTAATAAACCTGGTTGTATGTTGACTTAATTGTGTCATTTACACACAGGCTGAATGTTCTGTAAGTCTCAAATGGGGGGTGGGGGAGAGGGATAAGCAGGGTCTATATGGGCAGAAGGAGCTATGCATAGTTCACAAAAGCATATTTAACATTATACTGTATTTTATATATATATATATATATATATATATTTTTTTTTTTTTGTCTTTTGTCTTTTTTCCGTGTCCGGCAACGGATCGCAACCCTCAGTGTTGCCCCTGTACCGGACCGGGGACCGGCAACGGGATTGCAAACCTCGGTGTTGCTCCCGCGCCTCGCTCAGCCAGTGAGCGGGAACCGGTCTGTATGTGGGATCCGAACCCTCGGGCGGGAGCGCCGCCGTGCTTCCCAAGCGGCGCACTATCCAGTGCGCCACCGGGCCGGCCCCTGTATTTTATATTTTTAAAAAACAAAAAATATGATTGCTTTTGTAATATAGGGTTGTTTTGATCTATAGATAATTGGTACCAGAAAAAATCCACTGAAAGTGAACCTAGTTAAGAGGGACCAAAATATAGAAGGTTTTTAATAGGATGTTATCTGAAAAAAATAAAACAAAAAATGTAAATAAGCTTACGTTATGTTAAACAAAATTGAGGTTATAATTGCAGCTGAGTGCTATTTCTTGATATTGAATTGGGAGAGGTATAACTTTTCCAACAAAATTGTCTGACAACATGAAATAGTACCTTTCCCTTCACATTTCGACTTTTTACCATGATCATAAAGAGGGTTGTTGTTGCAAAAATTTTTGAGGGCTCCATCAACTTTCCCAGTCCTCTGGATCATTCTGTTTTGAAGCCCCTGCTATGTCATCTCTGTAAGTTTTCTCTTCATCCCTTGTTCATTGGTCTAACCCTGCCAGGTCTGCATTTGTCTGTGGCTTTGCTTCTGATTTGAGTGATTCTCCAGCATCCTTCTCATTGACAGCAGCTGTTGTGTAACACCCAGCCAGCCACCAGGAAGGGACAGGCTGACAAAGACATGGGCTGGTGGAGGCCAGTCCAAGCAGGGTGGAGTGTGTGAGTGGTGAGCGGTGTTCTAGTGCTTGGCTCACTCGTGATTACTTTCCGTTGGGATGGCTTTTGCTTTCCTCAACAACCAAGGGTACTTAGACTATAAACATCAAGTAAAGAGGAGCTGTTGTATAAAGCATAGGAAGTTATGCCTGACACAATTAACTTAGCATGGGTATAAAGCTCGGAATGGCTGTGCATGATGTGGAGTTACAGGCTAGAGGAGAAAAGGTAGTAAGTTAACACTCTGGCAGTTGTATGTTGAAACAGCAGCTGTGCTTGCCTGGGTTCTCGTGATTGTCACACTGTATTTGTTTGCTTGTCTTTCTCCCCAGTAAATGTGAGCCCTTGAGGGCAGGCACTGTTGCCCATTCATCTCTGTATCCCACGCCTGCAGAACTCCCTTACACATAGTTTGAAATGTAATTAATTCTTTTTAAATGGCGGGTATGATATGGTATAGCTGATGCTATTTAAATTTCAGAGAGCCCATTCGAAGACCTTCAGCATAGATGTGCTATTAGAAAAACACCCTATCAGTTCATGTACTCTATTTTTCTTTTTTATTGATGTGAGCATTTTCTGGCATCTTTGTTTTAATTTTTGATTATTTCCAGGGATTAACACAATTGATTTGAGCCAGCTGCATAAGGGTTCTGGAGCATGGGTTTGATTCTCAGAGGGACTCGATTAGCTTTTTTATAGTCTGTCAACAAAGGTTGCATTGCTAAGCCCAGGGAGTTTTCACCAAATTTGAGTTATCACTCACAAGAGAGATTAGGTAAAGAATGTAGACAAATGTCAAACCAGGCCCTGCTAATACAATATGTTTTTATTGGCCATGAGTGGTCTGTAGTATGTAATGAACAGCAAACCTTGAAGAAATATTGAGAAAGACTGTCTTTTTGTGATCTTTTTACTTATTAGAAGATATATTAACTGAGCAGCTGAGGAGCCAGAAATAGTTGTTCTAGGTCCTGGAGATATAATGATGAGCAAGGCATGCCTTTCCAGGAACAGAACCAGCCAGTGCACTAGTCAGAGCAGAAAAGCCTTAGAGGTACCAGCTGGGGAGTTTTGATGTGACTCTGAAGTCTGGAGCCATGGTGGGGCAGTAAACAGAGGAGTGCCATGTTTCCAGCCCCTCCAGCTGCCTGGGGGGACAGGACAGCTACAGAACTTCCAGGAGGCAGAGGGGCCGGCCCGGTGGCGCACTGGATAGTGCGCCGCTTGGGAAGCGTGGCGGCGCTCCCGTCCGAGGGTTCGGATCCCACATACAGACCGGTTCCCGCTCACTGGCTGAGCGAGGCGCGGGAGCAACACCGAGGTTTGCAATCCCGTTGCCGGTCCCCGGTCCGGTACGGGGGCAACACTGAGGGTTGCGATCCGTTGCCGGACACGGAAAAAAGACAAAAGACAAAAAAAAAAAAAAAAGAACTTCCAGGAGGCAGAGATGGCCTCCAGTGTCCAGAATAGAGCTGTTAGGCCCAAGATAGAGCAGTTGTTGGGGCAACCAAGAGGAGGAAGTGGCGGGAGGTGGGGATGGACTCTGTGGGCTACACCTGGGTGGCCTTTCCCATCGCTCCTGCTCCTTTGCTGGAAAAAAGCACTGTTTTGATTTGAACTAACAGCCTGGTGGAGTCAACAGAAACTCATGCATGACCCTTCTGATCCCAGCAATCAGACCTCATGGAGGAAAGCTAATCTCACATGCAAAATTGCCATCGACAACCTAGAGAAAGCAGAACTTCTCCAGGGAGGAGATCCCTTAAGGCAAAGGTACCTGTCCTTCTGTCTTTCTGGGCTCTGATAATAGAATAGATAATTGGGAAGCTGTACAACTCACTGTAGGGAACCCGTTTTTAGCTTGAGAAAACAATTTAATTTTATTATATTATTTTATTTTGTTAAATTGTTATAAAATAATTTTATTTTTATTTATTATTTGTAATATTTTTTCAAAAGTGTGAAAGAAATACATGCTTATTTGTAGTAAATTGGTAAAATAAGAAAAGTATGAATTACAAAATGAATTGTTACCTCATGAACGTTTTGGTATATTGCCTCCTCCCATATCTTTTACAAAGTTAAAATCATGCTATATATAAAATTAGTATTCTAATCTTTCAGTTAGTATTATAGCATAAAACTTGATGGTTTTTAAAAAAACTTTTTAAACCTCATTTTAATAGTAGATATTACTCCATTGTATCAACCAATTCCCTGTTTGTGTATATTTAAATTTTAGTTTTTCAGTATTGTAAATAATATGCCAGAGCACATCTTAAAACTTAAGTCTTTATCCATTTTTGGATATTTCCTTTGGAGAGATTTCCAGGGATGAGATTATTGGGTCAAAGGAATAAACATTCCTAAGGATCCTAATATGTATTGGCAAATTGCCTTACAAAAGGGAGTACCAGTTTACATTCCTACTAACGGTCTACAAGAGCATGGCCTTAGCACACCCTTGCCAGCATTGACTGTGATCATTTCATGTGTACTAATTTGATAGGTAAAAAATGGGATCTCATTTGAATAGGGGCTTTTTGGCAGTGGGGCTTTTGTTGACATTCCTCCTGCCTCCTCTGGACTTTTAGGAAAACCACCAAAGGGAGCCTGGCCCAGACATCCAGCGCCATCACAGAGAGTCTCATGGGAATCAGCAGGATGATGTCCCAGCAGGTCCAGCAGAGCCAGCAAGCCATGCAGACTCTAGGTAAAGCTGGGCCTGGGGTAGGAACTTCTCCCAGAGATAGTGGCTGCAGAGCCCTTGCCTGGCGCTTCCACCCCAGTCTCCTTCCCCACTACCCTCCCAAAGCTTACTGACTCATGTGGCTTTTAACTCATGAGATGACTTAGCTTGGTCTTTCCCAGCGTGGGGATATGCTGCTTGTTTTTCTTTTCAGTTACTGGAGTTGTACTAGAAGACCTCCACACCCCCATCAATGTTTGCCCTGTGGAATCATTGCCAGGGGCTCATGTGAAAAGCAGAGATCCCAGGCTCTCTCCTGGAGAGTGGGTGTCAGCAAGGCTAGTCAAGGGGCCTGGGAGTTTGGTGTTCAGTGAGGACTCTGAGAACCCACATGGCCAGGCAGGTTTGGGAATCTTTGCCCCAAGAGATGTTTAGGTATCAGCCATTGGCAAGACTGCAAGGACTTTAGTTTACAGTTATACTCCCAAATATTATTTGTACTGTGAGTTCCTTTTATTTTTTATTTAAAAAAATTTTTTTTTTTTTATGGCTGGCCAGTATGGAAAAGTGAGTTCCCTTTGAAATATACCAGTCAGTGGCTATAGAAGTGACTGCTTGAGACCATCCAATCCTCTCCAGTTTTTTTTTTTTTATGGCTGGCCAGTATGGAAAAGTGAGTTCCTTTTGAAATATACCAGTCAGTGGCTATAGAAGTGACTGCTTGAGACCATCCAATCCTCTCCAGCAGCTTTCCCATAGTGTCTCCATTATAACACAGAAGAGAATCAACCCTCTTCAGGGTCCTTTGGTATAGAAAAACAGAAGAATTTACTCCCTGAAACACTTTTGGAAAATTTCCCACATAGGCAGAAGTAGAGAGCATGGTGTCCCAAGTCCCATGAAGCCATCACCCCACTTCAGCAACTATCAGCTCACGGCCAGTCTTGTTTCAGTTCCACCCTCACCCCATGCCCCAATCTGGATTATTTTGAAGCAAATCCCAGACATCATCCATAAGTGTCTCAGTATGTCTCTTAAAAGATAAGGCGCTCTATGGGAAAAAAACCAAAAAACTCCCTATAACTATCATAATACCATTATCACCCCTAAAAATTATCTGGAATTTTGAGCCACTGTTTTTTTCAGTGTACTATTCCAACAGGCAAAAGCAAAAGGAAAGCAAGCAGTGACCCCAAGTTCACTCCTTGTGTCTGAAACTTATCTGAGCATTAAGGCTCAGAACCAGCCAGTCGCCTCCTCTAAGTGTGTGCTGTGGGCATGGCCTGGGCCTTGGGAGAGGCCTTGGAGAAAGTGAGTCCAAGGAGGCAACTTGGCCTTGAGTCAAGGCTTTTATACTCTGATGCCGGTGAGAAGGATTCACAGATGCTAATGGTCTCTGGTGTGTTGAGAGGGCTCCCAGTGTGAGGCTTGTTCCTGGGGCTCATTTTGTAGAAGAGGTAGCTATTGAGGAAAGAGAAGAACGCAGTTCTTAATCATTTCCTTATGGCTCACAAATTCAACTTGATTTAAAAGTGTATTAGGACCACAATTTAAAAACAAAAAAGCCTATTAGGTATAGGATATCTGGAATTTGTATGTCATTTCCAAAATGCTGCTGTGTTTCCTCTAATTTATTTCATTTACTTATTAGTTTTTAATTTTATGAAAAGGTAACATACGTAACATGGTTAAGGAAAAAAACCCTTTATCCTAAGCACTATCCAATAGAAACATACTAGGAGCCACATATGTAACTTTATATTTTCTAGTAGGCACATTATAAAATTTAAAAAGAAACATATGAAATTAATTTTAATAATATACAGTACTTTATGTAACCCATTATATGTAAAATATTGCCATTTCTTTTTTTTTTTTTTTTTTTTTTTCTTTTGGCTTTTTCCG